TCTATGGTCCAGCAACAACTGTGGTCCAGCAGAACCACGGATGCTCCTGGAGCAGAGAGCCTGGGAGCCTAAGGGCAGTAGGGCCAGCCAGACAGGACATCAGAGTTGGCAGCCTGGCTGTTGGCACCGCGGGACTGGAGCTGGAGCCCTCCAGCAGCCCCAGGAGTGTGGGGTTGGAGCCCCATGGTTCCCTCGGCTGTGTGGGGCTGCGCAGGGCACGGGTGAGAGCCCCAGCCCCACAGCTTCTCTTGCTGCACAAGAACAGAGCCCTGCAGCAGGAGCCAGAGCCTCTGCGCAGGGATGGGGACGGAGCCCCACAGCTTCCTACGGCTGTGCGGGGCCTGGCTGGGGCTGTGTGAGGATGCGGATGGAGCCCTGTGGCTTTCACCAGCTGTGCAGGGCCAGGGCGGGGCCCCAGCCCCTGGTTGTTCCCAGCTGCTCAGGAACAGAGCCACACGGCAGGAGCTGGAGCTTGTGCCACCCAGGGAGCCAGCAGTAGCTGGGTAAGCAGCCCAGCCAGGTCAAGGAGGGAAAAGCAGAGTTGCCCGCTGGGGCAGCCTGCCAACAGTGGGTGATGGACTTGGGGACTGGTGGCAGGAGTCCTCCACAGGTCTGGCAAATTCTCGTTTGGGACGGCCAGGTCCCAAAGACACCAGGCCAGAGAGGTCCAACCTATAGGTTTCTCTTACTAATTTTTGTTTTAAAAACTAAAATAAAAAAGTGCAGACTTTAAGGAAGTTATGCTGCATTATAGAGTCCAAAGAATAACATAATAGAGGTATTTATTGGTAGCTAAAGTATGCACAGTTGTCTTTAAAAAAAAGGTCCCTGAACAGTTTAGCTGGTAGTCAGAACTGACATTACCCTGGACAGTTGCAACTTCTAAGTAGACAGAGGCCCATCTGTTTTCAGTCTAGTAACATATCCCAAGTATGTGGATGTCCAAAAAAGCAACCCATATTGTTTATTGTTGCTTGTTACCGGGTTTGAAATTCCCAACATTAGAATAATTCCAAACAGGACAAGTTTCAAATTTAAAATAAGTAGATAAGTACATTTATTAATTTCTTTTAAATTCAATCATATTTTTGAAGTATTTTCATTCTGTAATGTCCCATAAATGCATGTTTGCATTCCAAATATATGACAGGAGCATATTTGCCCTACTGACTTTTTTACTAACAGAAAATGACATTTCACGTTTACCTTGTTCTTAAAATATTGCCTTGCATAGCTCTTCACTTGTAGAACAGTGCGACTTCCAATCAACTTGGCGATTTTTGTCCACCTTCGGCCAAATTTAGCCTAGTGTGACAAAAGAAATTTAAATCAATCAAGCTCTTCTACATCTACTATTTTTTATGCAGGAGAAAAAGTTTTACAAAAATAATTATTTGTTAGAAATAAAAAATACTACTTGACCCTTGCAAAAAATCCTACTATCTAGTCACTGGACCATCAGAAATTATGTTTAAAAAGTAAGTATTACTAATTCACTGCCCTTTTTTGAGGAGATTTATCAATGGCCTGATCCAGAAAGTGCTGAAAAACATACTGGCTGCTACCTGAGGAGTCCCATTGAAGTTAATTACGCATTTGCAGAAGGGATGGTAATGGGTATCCAGTTAAACGATTACCAGGTAAGTATCATCCTTAATGGGTGATGCTTATCAGGAAACAGTTAACTGATACCAGGGAGCAGTCTCCCACCTGTGGCCTGACTTGGAGGGCTGGGAGCTGTGGTGGCAGCAGCAGCCCCTGCAGGGAGACCAGGGGCCACCGCAGCAGTAGCAGCCCCTATGGTGGAGGTGCCTGAGAGCCATGGCTGCAGGAGCAGCCCCCTACGGCAGGGATCACTCTAGACCAGGCATGTCCAAAGTCCGGCCCGTGGGCCAATTGCGGCCCGTGTTCCGGTTTAATACGGCCCCACAGGTAATTTGGCAATATCTATCTTTTATGGCCCCCAACGAATCCATATGTATTGAGATGAATACATTGTAAAATCTCAGTTAATGTCAGTTGGTCTAAATCAGTTATAAATATATTTGGACACAACATATATACTTGGTGTTATGTTCCTGTTCATATTTTTTGAACTTAAAAGTTGACAGACAACCTTTATTACCAATAATATGTAATGTACTTTACAATGTTCCTGACATATATTTCAGCTTCCTGGATTTTTTTTTCATCTGGCCTTCAGATATGAAAGGCAGAGTGATTTAACACCTGTTTAGATTTGTCATCCATGTGACGAAATGAAAAGTATGCCGTTTGCAATAAACTTTGCATAAAATAGTTAATTTGCATTTAATTTTAATGGTTCAAAGAATGTCAGGCAAAATGGTCGGCCCTCACGCATGTTCACTTCATCAAATCTGGCCCTCTTTGAAAAAAGTTTGGACACCCCTGCTCTAGACCAACCCCAGTAGGTGGGCCCCCCATCCATCTTTTAATCGGTTGAAAACAGTGTTCTGCAAAGCAAGGGCGCCCATCTGCCATGCACCTCACTACCCCTGAAGGAGGCAGCAATGAGTGGGAGGGAGGCAGACGGCTCCATGGAGCCAGCTCCTTGTATGTATTGGCTCCCACCTGCCAGGAGCCAGCACAGCAGCTGCCCCATCTCTACTTCCCCTCCGTCCACCTCGGATAGGCATTGGCGGGAGCAGGCAGGAGCCAATGTTCAGGGGAGCAAGGGGGAGTAATGCGTGTAGTCTTGTAGCCGAGGCATATCAGTTAATCATGTAGTCGACTACACATTGACATCCCTAATGTGTACATCCACATCAAGTCCTCAACGTAAAAAGACCAAATTTAGACTCTGATCTCTCAAAGCTGTTTAATTTTATGCACTGTGAGTAGTCCTACCAAAGTCAGTGGAATTAAAGTGTTAAGCACATGTGTTAAATTTATCCAGGACTGGGATCTTGAATTGTGCAAAAAAGGTAATGCTAAGGCAACCTGAAGATTAAGGTGGGTTTTTTTTTACTTTAAAATATGGTTCTAAATTAAAGTGATTAAAAGTTGCATTGGAGGAAATCAAAATTTATTGTAACTCCATATCAAATATGCTTATTTTAAAGTGTAAATATTATGGCCAGTCCTACACATTTACCCTGGATTCTAAAAGTCAAACTCAGTTCTTTTCTTTTCACACATTACCACCTATATTGAAGGCCAAATTCTTCTGTAATGTCTAAATGCAAACTGATACATATCAAGACTAAAGATATCATAGTATCAGATGAGTGAATCTCATCAGGAAGGCTGCAACGGTTCACCTTACATATGAATGCTTACTACAAAGCTAGATCCCCAATCATTTAAGAAGTTCTTCTCCCAGAGGACCCATGCACCTTTGCAGTTCTTGGGTCTTAAGTTATCATTGAGGCAGGCAAATATCCTTCTAAATACTATTTATACAGTATTATTTTCAATATTTTATAGCAATGTGATTTTCAAAGTCAAAATAGCCCCACTAAAAGCAATGTCCGCTACAACATTCAAAGATACTATTTGCAAAGGGTTATTTGCTTGACAAAATACAACTTTCTATACCCCACTAATTCAGCTGAAGAAATGTTTTTAAAAAGTTACAGCAAAAATGTTTTTAGATTGTCTTCATAATAAAAAACAGATGAATTATTTTTGCTCAAACTTTCAAGATACTATTAATCTTGAAGAAACAAGGGCTGAAAAACTTTCCCCAGCAAGGCTGACATTTGCTGAAGTTACCAAGTTTAAATAGTTTGTATTAGAACAGAAATGCTACAGCAGTCATTACTTGAACTGCTGTTAGGGCTTCTTCTATAATAGTACAGATATATAAAGTCTAAAAAATTATTAGATGTAATCATTATAACACCACCACAAGCTGAAAAATTAGAACACAATTTGCAAACATCCATTCAAGTAGTAATTAAGCCTAATTCTACTTTTCCTTCTGTTTTCAAGAAATGACCTAGCAAAGCCTTGCTAAAGTCAACAAGACTGTGAAGGTCTAGGGACTCACCCTCCTGGATTTCTTTGCACTGTCAGGAATCTATGTCTTTTATTGTTTTTTTCACAAAGCAATAGGTGAGAGAACAATATTTTAAGAAAGTCCAAAGTCAGAAAGATTAGCAGGGTGATTCAGGAATCACTATATGTATTACAGTGAAAGCTCTGCTATCCGACATTCATTTAGGATAGGGGTTGCCGGATAACTGAATGTGCCAGATAAAGTTTTTTTGGCAGATCCAGCTCCTGGCAGCTCAAAGCAGGCTAAGGGGGAAGGAGGTGCCTGCTGATAACATTGGCCAACAGTGCCAGCAGTCAGAAGCCCTGCAACGGCCAGCTAGACAGGTGGGAATCAGACATGTGCACCTGAAGATGCAACAGTATCATGGCTGGGGACAATGCCAGTTAACTAAGTTTTCCAGTTAACAGAGTGCCAGATAAAGCTTTCACTGTACGCATGTTACAGTAACATCTAGAGGCAACAGCCAGGCTAGGGTCCACTGTGCTGCCACCTGTACAACATACTAAAAATGCTCCAAAGAGTGTACATTAGTGTCTGGAAAAAGTTTTTGTTTACTAGATTCAAAGGCACCCCTCATGTTTGACACTTTCTTTGCAAACTAAGGCACTGCTACTCTAAGACAGCAATGGACAAATCAGTAGACCTTAAGACAATCTAAGGCTCCAATCTTGCAACTGGGTCTGGCCAGGCAAACTCTTGTGCACAAATCAAGCACTGCTGATTTTGATGGAGATTCGCAATCAGAGATATGATTGTGACACCAGGGTCTAAATGTGTCTGATTTATCATTCCATTGTTAACCATTGGAAATTATTTTTTAAAAAGTTAAGTTGATTTTTTTTCAGTTTTAAGTGCATTGCAATTATTTTTATTTTGCAATGAGAAAACCGAATGCTAAAAATACTAGGGGTCTGCGCCCGCTTGCTTATGCTCGCCAACTCCTCTCTCTCCGGCCGTTTTCACAGCTGGAGAGCGTGAGGGCACAATGATGTCATTCTGTTACCTGGTAGGAATTTTTTTTTTATCCATATAGAAACACACAATATTTACCAGGCCTTGTTCAAAAAGCTCTTTTTCCTCTATTGTCCACTTTACTGAGCAGCTAGCTGATTTTGTAGGTGACCGAACTCTGAAAGAGTAAGAAAATGCAGGTTCCTTTTTAATGAATGCAGATTGCCAAAAGAAAACCATTTACAACAACTTCTGAAATGTGGATTATTATACTTCTTCAATGGAAACTTAGGGGAATTGTTTTAAACTTTCAAGAGAACAAGTTCTGCCAGGTTTTTGTATTACAAAAGCAGCATAATTTAAGACAGCACTACACCCACTCTCAGCTAATTTTGAGGAGGGGAAGGGGCACATCCAACAAGGAAACTGTAGGCAAGGAAACACCAACTGTAATTATTGTTTTTGTGATATGGACATATGTCCTGAAAAATCAAGTTCATGTAATATAGGCCATTTAACAGTCAAATATCAATGTCTATCAGGCTGACAATGTTCCTTTAATAATCCAACACAAACAAATAACACCAAGGCTTCGTCTACACTGGCAGCTTCTTGCACAAGAACTGTTTTGTGAAAAAGTTCTTGCGCAAAAAGTCTTCCAGAAGAGCGCATCTACACTGGCATGTGCTTTTGTGCAAGAGCGTCTATGGCAGTGTGGACGCTCTCTTGCGCAAGAAAGCTCTGGTGGCCATTTTAGCCATAGAGGTTTCCTGCACATGAAATTCATGTTGCCTGTCTATACTGCCCTCTTGTTCAAGAGCTCTTGTGCAAGAGGGCTTATTCCTCGTGGGGAGAGGAATAACTCTCACGCAAGAAGCCCGGTTTTCTGACGCTAGACTGTAAATTTACCTGCGCAAGAACGCGCGTGCAGTGTAGACACCTGGCAAGTTTTTGCGGAAGAACAGCTGTTCTTGCGCAAGAAGCCGCCAGTGTAGACACAGCCCAAATGTTAAAGGGGAGTTGATAATGTTATATAACTTAAATGAAAAAGAACACTTAACAATACACCTCAGTTATTCAAAAAGTACATACGTGACTTTTCCTGTTTTCTTATATGGACTGTAAAACATAAAAAACAAAAAATTAATAATGGTGACTGCTGATCACCTAAGCAAATATACATTTTAAAGAAAGTTCTTATTTGTTCCCCAAATTTCTCATGTTTAATTATTTCTTTCTCCACTCCCCAACAGCAAATTTACCTTTTCATGGATTTTCTGTCACCTTCCTTTTGATCAAGCCATATTTTTTCTGGAAGCGATTTATTAGATAAGTAATACCTGCAATCTATATTAAGGAATATTTTGATACACAGACCAGAACTACATACAGGTTGTATCCCCCTAAAATGGGACTCTGGTCCAACAACCTCTGTGATCCATCATATACCATGGATGTTCCTAGACCACACAGTACAAGAACATGGAGGTCTGGTGGTGTGATAAGAGCACAGTAGAGGGGGACCGGCGACTCAGTCAGGAGCCCAGTGTTGGGGGCAGTGGGAAGAACAGTGCCATGGCAGGAAGTTCTGGCCCTATTCTGGCTACAGCGGCTAGGGAGCTTCAATGCAGCAGTAGCTAGGGAGCTCCAGTCATGGTGGCAGAAGGCAGCGGAGCTTCAGCTGTGGCACTCTGGCTCCAGCAGCAGCGGGGCCAGCGACAACTAGAAAGCCTGGAAGGGTTGGAGCAGCAGCTAGGGCCAGGCTGGAGTCCTAGCCCAGGGGCAGTGAGACAGCATGGGTCATGAGGGGAGGAACCTGTCCTAGTCTGGCAAATCTCCTCATTTGGGACCAATCAGGTTCTAAGGGTGCGGGACCAAGGAAGTCCAACCCGTGCATGTAAAAATTCTGACAAAATTGTCACTGATTGAAAATACTATTAAGTTAAACAAAAAAGGAAGAGATTGGCTTTGTAAATCACATACATTAGTTCTAATAAACTAGCAATTCTGCTTCCTCCCCAGCCTGTTTTCCCTTATGATTTGGACATAATATTAGAAGCACTTTTTCTCAGTAATGCCAAATTCCCCAGCCTTTTCGCAATTCAAGTCTGAATAATGTACAGGCAGTCCCCGGGTTACGTACAAGATAGGGACTGTAGGTTTGTTCTTAAGTTGAATTTGAATGTAAGTCGGAACTGGCATCCAGATTCAGTCGCTGTTGAAACTGACCAGCGGCTGACTACAGGAAGCCCGAGGAAGAGCTGCTCTGCCCCAGGCTTCCTGGAATCAGCCGCTGATCAGTTTCAACAGCGGCTGAATCTGGATGCCTGGGAAAGAGCAGCTGGGGCGCTGCGGGGACCAACCCGGCAGCACCCCAGTTGCTCTACCCCAGGTGTTCCCAAGTCAGCCGCTGCTGAAACTGATCAGCGGCTGATTCCAGGAAGCCCGGGGCAGAGCAGCGGGGGGGCTTGCGCGGGGGGC